CATTTAATTGCGATTCTCTCCGGCCACAAATTTAAGTTCCTTACCATATTAATTGTACGTTTGGCAACAACAACAGCAATAAAATATAAGCATTGAATTAAAGTGTTTACTTAATATAAACTATATTTTTTTTATAAAACTCAAAAATTAGAATCGAACCCAAGCTTATAAGAAGTAATTTTTATCTATTTTTTTATAAAGAGAATGAACTCTTCACCTTTTATTTAAGTGAATAATAGAGAATATCTTCACCATTCATATAAAGAATGGAGATTGTGACAGGTCTAAAGCTATAAAAATACATTAAATTGGGTCCAATCTAGTAAAAAAATAATTATTTTTTATTTTTAATTGTGTTTTATTTAAAAATCTAATCTTTCATATTATTCAATAACACTATATAAATCAGAAGGAGTTTGTTTGATGGTGTAACATTTATAAAATTTAATCACAATCCCAATTTTATTTCTTATAATATTTTACCTAATATTGTTGTGTGCTTACAAAATCAATGAAACTGTAATTCTTGATGAATGTATTTCATACGTGATGATATTATAGATAGTTCAATGGAATAATAAAAATATTTTTTAAATCTATAATATTTAAATTAAAAACCATCAATATTAATATATTTTTTAAAATTATTTTATAACTTCAATTTAAAAAGCATTCTTAATCAAACACATTAAATTACTTTTTGTTCAACCTCAATTTCAACCATAGTTTTAATCAAATATATATAAATATCAAACCAATATTAATTAAAAATACTTTTTATAAAATAATTTTTTTAAAATGTGTTTGGAAGATTGTCTGTGCTTTTAATTTTTTTTCCAGCTTACGTCGAGTCTTGATTGGTATAGATTGTATTATGGAATGAAAGAGATGGTACACATGGACATCCTTGTTAAACAAGTCGTCAAAAGCGACATAAACGATTATCATAACATTTTAATATATATTGATGGTTTGCAAGGATCGGTGAGACATATACTTGTATTGTAAATTGTAATTATTATTATTTAATATATGGTATATGTCATAATTTATTTTTGGATCCCTACATAAAAAGAAGAATATTGAAAAGAAAAGAAAAGAAAAGAAATAAATAAATATAAAAAATCAGAAGAATATTGAAAAGAAAAGAAAAGAAATAAATATAAAAAATAAAAAAATATAATAAAAAAATAATAGCAATAAGAAGAGGATGTCAGAGCACCCTAAAAATGACTAAAAGTTCATTAAGAAGGTTCAAAATTATAAAGATTAAAATTTAACAGTAATTTTTTGATTGGTGAGAGTTCTACTAATAAAGAAAATTCAATTTAAAAAAGAAAAACCCAAAATCAGATATTTATGGACTTAATTAAATTTTATTGAAGGTTTAATTGAATTTGTGGGGGGTTTGATTGCAACAAAATTGACTTTGAAGTCAATTTGGGCTTTAATTAGACGAAATCAAAGTTCAGGGGTCAAATTATAATTTTTGAGAGTTAATTTGATCAAATCAGAAGTTTAATTGCATAAATATTAAAGTTTGATGGTCAATTAGGGACTTATTTAATAAAATCCAAAACCAAGGACCAAACTAGAAATAGCTCGTAAATGGAGGGGCTGTGATTTAAACTGAATCAAGAGCCAAATTGAAGAAATTAGAAGTTTACTAGTCAATTGAGAATCAAATTACATAAATTAAAGATTAAGAATCAAAGTAAAAAAGGCAGCCAACTTCAGGGCCGCTGTTTGGTTTTTGACAAGGATGCAATTGCATTGATTTTTTAAATTAAAATTGCAATGGAGAACTCAATTGAACAAATTGAGGACCAATATAAACTCTGACATGTTTTTGCCACCATTACCTTTTAAATGAAATGACACCGTTTCATACACTATTTATTTAAAAAAAAAGGTCTAAAATGGTATCATTTTAAATAACATTGTAGGTCTTCTTCTTCCCCTAGACGCATCAAACAAGGGAAGAAGAAGATTTTTTCTTTCTTTGTTTTCACCGACTTCCTTCCTCTAAAGCATCAAGAAGACACCAATCAAGGATCCCTACTTACCTAAAACTTTTCACGTGTTGGAGGGATGGCAACATAGTGGTCACCTTGTTCTTTTTCTCCTTTTATTTTTTGCCTATATAAATAGGGAAAGAAAACACAAAAAAAGAAAATAAGAGGGGGCAAAACAAAAGAGAAAGGACATAGAATAGAATAGAAAAAAGAATAAAAGAACAAGAAAAAAAGAGACAAAAACAGGGGAGAAGTAGTGGCACCATCGAGTCCAACCACTACCTCCACCACCACCATGAGTTGCGTTTTGTCACCGTTACGGTAGCCAGTAGCACCGTATTGACGCCACCACATGTGAGCCTTCTTCAATCTCCCTTGCCATATCCTTCTTTTTCTTCTTCTATGTTTTTTTCTTCACTGTTGCCAACCCAACCTAAAATAGTTGGGCCGGGTCCGACCTAATTCAATTTTTTTCTTTTTAAAATTATAATTTTTTTCATGTTTTTATTAGATTTTTCTTAATACCAGTCTGTATTTTGTGCCAAAAAATACATATTTAGTATTAAATTACTCAATTTTCATCAAAACTTTTAAAAATAAAAAAAATATTTTTGAGCATATAAATGTCTCAGAAAGTTAAAAAATCATATTGTGTTTTTCATATAACAAAAAATATTTTTTTAGCATGCACTTTAGATTTAATAATCAATTTATTAAAATTAAGCAAACATTAACCAAAATTATAAAAACAAATAGAAATTTTATTTTATTTTATTTGTCTTTTAGTATTCAGAGTATGACATTACATTTAATATATATTTTGGATTAAATTCTTTTTTTGACGCTAAAACAATTAGTTTTTACCCCATTAATATTATAACCTCCTTATTAAAGATGACTTTTTCTTGAATTTTAGACAAATAGGACCAGCGACTAGAAAATGCAACAAAAACTTAGATTTTGATCAGATAAATAAAACAATACAGCTTATCTTAGGTAAGACGTAATTAGGAACAATGCAGCTTATCTTAGGTAAGACGTAATTAGAGTGCTAAAAGTTTCTTTTTACGCAACCAATCTCGGTACCTAATTTTTGAGACCAGTTACAGTTTCTAGTAATTAAAATACTAGATGGTGACTCGTAATTTATATTTTACTGATAAGAGACAATAATTTCTTGTCTCTTTATATTTTTCAAATAAACCTATATATTTTTTTTTTAGGGTGTACGATCGCCATAATATCACAAACATGTGCCTATATATATATATCACATTGGTTTTAATTAGCCACTGACATGCCCATTTTTTAAATCTTTAAATCTCTTTAATCAAGTTATTAAGTGGGTGAATGTGTGTGATGTCTCATTTAAAAATGACATGAATCATATTTTTTACCAATGAATTCTTCTCGAACTGGTTTAACCAAAAAACGAAAGAAAAAATAGAGAGTAAATTATAATTAGTCCTTGGATGTAGTTTAACAAGAATAATTAATTAATCCTTATAATATTAAAAACTATATATCTAGTCCTTATATTATTAAATTTGTTTATAATCCAATCCTTTTGTCAATTCTTCATTTTAGATTGAATTTAATTTTTCTTTCTTTCTTGAAAAATAGAATAAAGAAAAGAGAGAGAGGTAAAATGAAGAAATATGACCATGAAAGAAAGTATGTTCGAAAAACAAATTATTAAATTTAGAACAACCAACTTTAATTATGGATAATTTAGTTATTTTCTAGACCACATAGATTTATTAATTAGTTTTGATAAATTATGGAGACTAAATTATAGTTAAATAAAAAACTCTAGCCATTATCAATGCACTGAGCCCATTGATATATTGGCCGGATATTCCAGCTAACCTAGTTTTTTTTTCTCCAATTCGTATAGGCTATAACAACATATATTGACGAACAATCAGAAGTCCACATCGATATTTTTTGTTTTAATTCTATGTCAAGTTTCTTCCTTAAAATCAAACTAATCGATGAACTAGTCGTTGCATGTGGTCAGGTTTTTTTGTTTTTGTTTTTTTTTTATAATCCCTTATAATATATTTAATATTATATATAAATACATTAAGTAAAATAATTAACTAATTAAATTACACGAAATTGAATAGGTTTTTTTGGTGAGATTATTCACAATATTGATTATTTATACTTGTGTTCATATTCAAAAAATCATTGTTAGTAATTATTTGAAAGTCGTTAACCCATAATGTGGCCTTGCATTGCGAGAATTATTACACTTCCACAGGTCTTCATTTATTACATTTCTTTCTTTTTTAGAATAGGAAAAACATTTCTTTTAACTTGAAGGTATAAAACCTCCAAAATGAAAGTGTACATAATTAAAATATAATATATATATATATTATATAGGCTTGTGGGGAAGTTATAAGAGATTATATTTAATGAATTATGACAATTAATGAAATATTCATATGTCGTATCAAAATTGTAAGGAAACTAATTTATTATTATTAAAAATTATACACTTTTTTGTTATGAAAACCCTAAAAAATGTTCTAGCAAACACATAATTTGATTGAAAAGATACTTTTTAAAATAGTATTTAAAAACCGATATATATATATCGTCATTCACACAGTCAGCTGCTTAATGCATCATCATCATCATCCATGAAATTTCATTCGCTGCCTATTCAAAACAATTTTGGAAAAATCTACTTTTCAATATTTATACCAAACCTAATTAAATCACGGATTCGTACTAATTATTCATAGTGTCTCTTAATTTCTTAATTTTTGTTTTCCACTTCAGCACTTAATTGGCTGCTTTTCATCCAACTATGAAAGAAGCATTTATTTTGTTCTGAATGGTAGATTTAGTATTGATGGCATTTCGTTCCGATAGAAGTATTCATACATTGATAACCTTAGAGAAATTAATTAACTAAAATAAATTAATGGCATAGAGAAGAAATAACTTTTGGATTTTCAATAGGATGAATTGCATGAATGTGTGACTCGAATTTATTGCTTAAACATCGTTTCACTATTATGGATTGACCATACAATTCATCGAACATTATATATGAAAGTAAAAACCAAGAAAAAAAAAAAGTAAACTGCGCCAAGAAACTCAAAAAAAATGTTGTAGAGAGATAATTTCATTTAGAGCATTTTGCTTATCTTATCAAATCCACAGGCCTATATAGTGATTAAGCATTTCACATGGCCTAGTTGAGAGACTTCAAACTTGAAGTAGCAGTAAAGGAAATAAAAAAAAACGCCAATCTTAGGTTACTTAATTATACCCAATTTTGACAGGAAATATTTATGCATGCGGCAACCGACTTTGATTGAGCTTGAGCAAGAAGAGGGTCTTAATTAACCACTTGATCTCTTCCAAATCTCTTCAAGCTCCCTGGCAAACGCCTTTTGTCTATTAACAACAATTGTAATATGATCTTCATCATCAATGACCTTAACCCGAGCACGAGGGATTTTATGTTGAACATTGTAGCTACATTCAACTGGGATAAGCTCATCTTTTTTTCCGTGGAAGATATTGACATCACACTTGAGGTGATCACGGACTGAATCCAAGTACCCTTCGAGCTTGCTGCCGGTGCCACAAATGATGTTGTGTAGGGTGTGCCATGCAGCGTTGTGGGTGTGGCAACAGAACCCTTCAATTAAGAATGTCTTAATCCTGTACATTTTTTTCTCAAAGTTTTGCATTTATGTCAATAGGAGAGTAGAGAGATGTCTCTTTCATAATGCATGGAATAAATTCAAGCAGAGGTGTAGAAGAGAAAACACACACACACACACACATCAAGCATGCACCTGTCCCCATCATTTCTGACTTTGTCTGATGGACGCTTGACCAGTGTTTTTAGGGTAACTTATTGCACGATTCACCTATCACAGTGTATTTCATTAATTGTTACTACTATTTTTCCATATCTATTTCGTCAAGAAGGATTTTTCTAAATCTTTATTAATTTGGGGCGGGAACTTAGGGATGCTGTGAAAATTTCCCTAAGTTCCCGCTCCAAATTAATAAAGATTTAGAAAGCTAAAAGATCTAGACGTTCAATTTTATTACCATAATGCATTATTTGGAACATATTAGCATATTTTAACTTTTGTAGCTTCAAAATCTCATATCAGCAAATTTTAAAAGGAGGGATGGACATTTGTCAAACCAAGATTTGCAATTTTCACCGTTTGAACTATTGTAGGTGTACCAAATCATTCATCAGCGCCATACCCTCTTTGGAACGACCGCCAATGCCATAAAACAGTCAAAGATCTTCTAGCTGAGCACTTGAGGGCCGGAAAAATTAATACGGTGGACACCTATACTGTGATCGGTCATGGATCTCAAAAATTACTCTAGAGGCAAGCGATTTTTTTTTTTTTATAATTCGGATATGACAATTGTCTATTGTGTGGCGGTGCACCGTGGCCCCGCCCCTTAGCAGGGCTCCGGAACTTGGATTGAGGCTATCTGTGAAGTAAGCTAACAGTACCGTGGACGTTATAGTATAGTGATTTAAAGGCTTAAAATGCTCAAAATCTAACAATATCGGTGGTGCCATTATCCCAAAAAATAGACCCCGTAATAGAAGGTAAGTGAATGTGGTTGGGGCGTCATTGTCTTTGTGTGTCTGGGAATTGACTTTCAGGCTGCTAGTGAAATGCCAGGTCTCACTCATTTCTTGCTATTCTAAAATCTCAAGAGCTTATTAAGAGTCGATCCTAGATTACTTAGAGCCCTTGATCCCTAAGACAAATTAGATTTAATAAAGAGCTCAGAATAAAAGGCCAAATACATATTTCAAATAAGCAAAAGAAGAAAGAAAAGGGAAATATTAAGACCCAATTAATAATAAGTTTGGTGGTTAGTTATGAAATTGAGCACGAAAGCATGAAAATGCGTTTATTATGAACAAAAGGAGAAGTCTCGATGTTTGAATTTTATCACGGCACTTGAATTCTTTGGACAGGTTTTAAGGCGGTAGAGGTTTGATGAGAATTTACCTGTTTCTTGTGACTAGTTTGGTAAGGAACTCCCACAACCGATGATTTTTGCATATGACAAGGCAAATTGCCCTGCTGATGTGCTCATACCAGCACGCCATCGATGCACCAAATGTGATCAGTGGCCAAACACGCCTTGGAGCTACTTGTCTCATCACATGCTGCGTTGCTAGGACACCTTTTGGTACCTTGTAATATGGCTGTCATTATCACATAAACTAATCGGTAATCGATGCATTCAAAACTTTGAACGATTCCATGATTAATTTTCTTGGATAATTGAAAAGGAATAACAAAAAAAAAAAACTTCGAAAAAAAAAAATGAACGTACTGGTGCAAGGAGGGTCAAGGACTTGACCGAGCCGGGGTGTTTGACGGCAAGTGCTAGGGCCAAAATACAGCCTAAAGAATGAGCAACAATGTGGAAGGATTTGACTTTGTATGGTTCAATAACGGATTGTTCAATCATGTCCAGATGCTCTCTTAATGTGTAAAGGGAGTCAGCTGGCTTAGGGCTCCTCCCAAACCCTAATAGATCGATGGCAAATAATCGGTAGGTTGATTTAGCTGCATGTGAGAAGTTCGGAAATAATGTCTCTGTCCAAAATGCTGAAGACGAAATGAATCCATGAATGAAGAGGACATCACCTTTTCCCTTATCTGATCACATATTACAAACCCGATATATATTAGTTTCAAGGACTTAAACTAATTATTACACATAAGAATTAATTACACTAAATGAAGAACATGTATATACTATATGCTACTAATCAAGATAATTATTATTTTTTAATTTATTACCTTCAGGTCCTTCAGCCCTAACGAAGAGGGTTTCTTTGCTAGAAGAGGTCCATGAAGTGCAAAATTTGCAATCACAATCAGACCATCTTGAAATGGGATGTAAGTGCTGGCCTCCAATCTTCCCTTGAAGCATTTCAACAATGGTAGAGTTGACAGTTAATGTGGATCTCATAGTTCCTTTCTTGATCTTCTCGGATGTCTGTACAGTGACAGTACTTGACTTACCCTCCACCTTGATTCGTTTGAGCTCATTAACCGTTGATTTTGAAATCTCAGACACTAATGAAGTACGAGTGTAAAGGGTGTCCGAGATCTCTTCTAACCTTAACTTGGTAGAAGTAAGGCAAACAATTTTGGACTCACCTTGTTCAGAGACCAAGATCTTGCCAGTACTTGTTATGGCTTCCTTAGCTGAGGCACAATAACAAGGTTTCCATTCAGCTTCAATGATGAAATCCACTGCTTTGAATGCAAAGCATAGAACGAGATCAAGGATGTCTAGAAAAGAGAAGACGATGAAGCTCACAGCATCATGTAAAACCCTGCCTGTTAATGTTAAAACCATCATGGTTTTTCCCATTACAGCCATTTCACCAAGAGGCATCACTACTACCCACTTCAAATAGTTGAATAGACCCCAGAGACACAAATAGAAAGACATGTAGAAGAAAGAATTATGAGATGAAGCTAGCTATGAGGGAGGAGTTTTAAGGAAATCATTTGTTCCTAATAGATCCAAAATGTCAATGAAAGCACGCATGCCTCTCTTCTTAGTCTTGATTTCTTGATTTAGAGTTCTCGGAAATGTTGTGGAAACAATGTTTCCCTAACTTGTTGACCACTTCCAAAATGTGCCTCACTTGATGAAAGCGTGAGGACTTTTCTTTTCTACCTTCTAAGGACGTACTGGGGAGAGAAAAGGGGGAGAGAGGGAACACACTATTACTACAGATAGCAGATAATGGAATTGATTGTTTCATTAAACATCGTTTGTTGGCCAAGGAAAAAAGTTAGGTGGTAGTTGAACCTCCCCTGCAGGAGAAGAAACAATTCTTCTTAGCAAATAATAAGACTACATTTAAGTTTCTTTTCTTTGCCTCTTCAAATGAATACAAATAAATAACACCATTAATTAAACACCCGAGCCTCTCTCTAATTAAAAAATCTTAAGGAAAAGAAAAGAATTTTTTGTAGAGAAGAAAATGTCTCTTTCTTGCACTTGAGAAATACTACTATAGCTCTAGGTCAAATTTTTTCTCATCTACCAAGTTACAACCCATCATTTGTTAGTACTCTTGATCAGAAATATGTGCCTAACGCATTAATGTAAGGATTATTTTTCAAAATTGAACAGCCAGCTCCGAACCTCTTGTAGTTATTGCAGGCTGTCTTGCCCACATGACTCCATCCTCATTGGTAGTAGAAACTATTATGATCCTCGCCACCGTCCTAATTCCTGAGGTGACCTTATAAATGATAAAATCCCTTGCTTGATCTATACAGATGGCTTGGAGGGTGAAAACGGGTAGATGACAGATTCCTAGTTCTAATAAAGTACTTTTTGTTTGATGGTCAGGTGATACTCTAGCTAGCTAGCAATAGTACATTGTGCATGTAAATTATATATGGTGATCATCAATACAAGTACTTAACACACAAACTAACTTAGTATTTTACTTTTAAGATAGGAAAAGGATTCCTTGAAAAAAAAAAGTGTTAAGAATTCTTATTGAAATATTATAGTTTGAACTTATCTTTATATTCTATAATCTTTCGATAAATATAAGGGTCATGTTTTTAGAATTTAGGATGTTTGTGCTTGTGTGTGTGTTAAATATCTATAATGAATAATATTTTAGAAGGTTAAATACTTGAGTGTTTTATAGTATGTTATTGAATGGTTGATTCGGAGCTAGCATTAAGGAAGATTTTGTAATTATCAAGCCTCCATTCTTTGTATATAATGCTCAAGCAGCTTTTCCTCCATCAAAGATCTTAAATGAGACAGTACGAGAGTTTTTTTAGGAGCAAATAAAACTTTACCAACTTGGGATCGACAAGGTGAAAGAAATGCCAAAGATCTTAAATGAGGCAATATGAGAGTTTTTTGATGAGCAAATAAAACTTGACCAACTCGGGATTGACAAGGTGAAAGGAATGCCAAAATTAGTTCATTATTTGTTCATGGGAAAAAAAATAGACTCTACTCTAAAAATTCTTACTTTGAGAAATAAAATTTAGTGCATTGAGCAATGGAAACTGCAAGTATTGTAGCTAATAAAATAGATGTATCTGTAGGGAATTTTGACCGGTGATGTACTGATATTTGCTCATAGGAGGGTCAAGCACACTGACATGATATTTACGTGGTTCGGCAAAACCGTCTACATCCACGGAAGAGAGTCTATATTATTAGAGATTAGAGAAAGAATACAAAACAAATACATGGAGGAGAAAGATCACTTCTCTCTACTCTACTCCGAGCTCTCTTTGCTGCACTTGCAGCTCTCTCTTTCTCTCTACTCTCTTCACATTCTCACAATCCTCTTCACGTTTTGCTCTCTAAAATCGTGCCTCTTTTATAGGCATCCTTGGCAGCTCTTCTTACTTGTTTGTCAATATTGGTGGCCACCAACTCTTGCTCATTCAACAATGGTGGCTGCCAATAGTCAATGGTTGGTGTCGTCCATTTGTTGCACATGCAATGGCAACCAACCTAACAGGATCATCATAAAAAA